AGGATTTAGGCTGGCACCTTTTCACATCCCCGTTCCTCTTCCAGTGTGGCTGTGAAGAGCGAACTAGAAGTGTTTTATTTCCATTTTCAACTGAACAAAGTTTGCTATTTTGTGTGAACAGGGGTCTTTGTTTTATAACAACTTCTAGCAAACATTGGCTACTGTTTGTCTGCATTTAGGCACCGTACCGAGCTGTGGTTAGAAGGAAACAAAAACACATGTTGCTCATCTCCCCATAGCCATGTCAGAGAGGGAAACGGGGAACACGGAAGTCTGTGGCTTTTATATATGAGGCTACACGGTGACTTAGAGCTACACACAAGTGCCCCTGTCGTTCTGACCAGATCTATGACATTTTCCTGTCCTTCATTCCCAAGAACCACATGTCGAAGTGCTTCTAACAGGATTCGCCCTCTCGTGGATTCGCCCTCTTGTGGCAGCCATCAGCATTACCATGTATACCACCCTGTCAATGTTGTTTTGCTTCAAAGTGTGGGGAACAAGGCACTGTAATTGGAACCATAGTGGAGAAAATCCCAGCCAATTAAGTTGACAACATTTTTGAAATAGTTGTGTCTATAAAGGAAACCAAACTGAACTCTGCAATGGTTCAACTTTAGGCTGAACTGAGTCGTAACCGTTGCCTTCCTGCCCCCCCAACCCTGTCCCAGGGAATGCCTTGTCTTCAGACCAGGGCATCAGCATCCCTTGCTTTGATGAGAAGCAAATACATCTGGACCTCGAGACTGCCAAGGTTATCCAGTCTGTCATCATCACCCTCGGCACATCCTAGAGTGTTTTCAGACACGAGGCTCAGGTTTCAAGGCTGTCTCTCTCTTCCAACACTTGTGGAAATGTCTGCTGTTGCACTAATGCTGGTGAGAAAGAGGAAAGGTCAGGATTTGTCGTGCCAATGAGCATTCTGGCCAGGGCAGGTTTTACCTTCCCAAGGAAAGTGAGATCTGCTCGAAACAGGACACTGACCTAATATGCCTCTTCCCACGGAGACAGCTTCTTTGCTGAGAGCAAGATGGCAAGAGTCAAGATAGTCCAGAAACAAACACTTCTGGATTTAGAAGCTTTCCACCTCCCACACAAGGAAGGGTAATGCAACAAACAATCTAAATGTTTAGATGACAGTTCAAAACAAAATAGAAAAAAAATTGGCCAGGCATGTTCACCCCCTCTGATTTCAGGACTTCAGCAAGAATGATCTATTGCAGAGGGAAGCCTAAAAACCAACTAAAAGTAAACCCATGTGTCCAGAATCCTATAATTTTATGCAGTGAAACTCTAGTGACAATATTCTTATGGGCAAATTGTTGCTAATTACAAGTTACACAATTTGCAAGTTATTGTCACACACCATGTGTAATTTGACATGTGGCAAGAAAGATATGCGTCAATTTTGTATCTAGCAGCAATGTCCAACGTACTTTATTAAGTAGCAGGATTACGGCCACTGGAAGAAATGAACATACATTATTGTTGACCTACCAAAATCCCATTGAGTAAATGGAACTTATCTAGGTTCCCATTGAGTAAATGGGTCTTATCTAGTTTACCATTTATTAAATGATTCCCAATGATTCAATGATATCGATTTAAAACTAACTCCAATTGATTAAATTGATCCTATCTATTTATGACTAACAATTGGATTTAGACTACAGCTCTCTTTGGGATTCTAGTATCAATACGTCTGGATTAGAACCCTAAACCAGAAACTAATTTAGAACAGTAAAGCTCACAGAACATGATGTTTCTGTTTTGTATGATACATTAACAAAGACAGAAGAATACAAGACTTTTAACATGGCCAGCGATGGGGAGAAAAACATCCTTCAAGTAATAACAGCAAAGGCACAGATCTAAAAACAAACTGATGGTTGAATTTATAACAGAAAGCTATAGTTGCAATAAGTAACACGGCATACAAACATCATGCTCTATTATTAAAAAATTTTTGTGAGCATCATTGCTGTGTTGTCAGTACACCCAAGAAAAAATGATATATTTGAAAGAGTGGGTGCATAACTATATTCACACATATTCATATATAAGACTAAATTCTTTTCAGGAAACGCACGTTTGATTGCAGACCCTAACTAGTAGTTTTGACACAGAGGGCAAGTGGTGCTATCTCCTAGTCACTGTGTGCTGAGGCCTGGCACCACCTCCCCACCCAAAAAATAGAAAAATGAATAGTACGGAAAGGTGTTATCATTTATTTTCCAAATACTCCCCATTCCGTGCCATTAAATTTTGGTGCCCCAGTTGCCCTGTGCAATTACAGCCCTGGTCCCTGTTCATGATAAACAAATGCCTGGTTTTAGGCACTTCTCAAGTTAATTACTATCTTTATTTTGGCACAGATATCCATAGTATAGATTCTGCTAAAAAAGTTGGTATGTGCAGATACTAACTTGACAACTCTACCAAGCTTTCGTTCCATTATCTACATCTCTAGAAATTAACGGTCAAACGATACAATACAACCAGCACATTGTTAGAAATGGAGCTTCCATAAGTGGTAAATGTCACTTGTTTGTCCTTGCATAAGGATTCCTTGGCTGTCTTGTTGCAAATCAGGTTGCTTGGGGTTCATAACTGGTCACTGAGAGGTAAACACTGGTTTTCTTTCTAAGTCTGATGGCTTAGTATGGAAGGTTGGAAGAAATGTGCCTTTGGAGGGATAATGTTTTATCATTGCCCAGTTACAAAGCTGGCACATCATGTAGTTTGACCCTAAATCTTTCCCTCTGTCTCTTTATGAGTAAATTTCTAGCATATCTGCATGTAAGAGCATGCAAGTGGAATGGGAATCCTTTTCCATGTCTTAGTCACCCCTGCCTAGCTAGGTGAGTAAATAAGAACCGGAGTTCAACAGCAAGGCACACACTTGACAGATACAGGGTGCCTGGTTTACTCACTGGTATTTAGAGTTGAAAGAATCAGGTAATAGGTGATGGGAATTGACTGTTGAACTGTGGACTTAGAATCCCAACCCCAGTTAAGAGGAAGAAACAAGGTGGGAACCAGGTTGGGAAGCCTAGTCAGGGGCAAGGCAGCACCCTTGGCCCCTGTGAACATATACTGAGTCACAATCATTATAAATACAATCACAGCCGGTATTAGATGAAATGCAGTATCTAAGTTCTTTTTTGAAACCTGTAACTAAACTGAAGAGTTTCTATCAGCTAACACAGCCTCCTTCAGAAGACGGTGCAAGGAAGACTGTTTCAGAGAAAAGACAGTGCACAGAAGAAGGGGGGGGAGCTCAGAATCATAGGCAACAGTTTATCATTTGGGGGGAAAGATCAAGTGAGGTTGGAAAAGTTACTTTTTTACTATAGTTTTTTTAAAATTGGTAGTCAAATAAGTTAAATTTCTCAAGTTCTGGATATCAGGCAGGTGTCCTTGATGTGGAGTGAGAAGTGAGATATAAAACAGGGCCAGGGACTTAACTGGGGGTGTCGGGCAACAATCCTAGGAACTTCTACCCCATGCAAAGGATGGGCTCGACCCTCCAGCTCTGTTCCTTCCATGCTGGTCTTTTGTCATCTGTTGTGTTTATAGGCCATTGTTTCCCTCCCAGAACTAGAGCTCAAGGTGGCTTTCAAAACCAAGATGTAAAGCTGCTGCTTTATAGACTTGCCTCCAGCCTCCGATGCTTCCTCCAGTCTGAGAGGGAGACAATGAATGCTTCCCCCCACTATTTTCTGTATTTCCTACCAAATACCTTTGCACAAAATTAACATCTTTTCCCTTTGTGAAGCTAAGTGCACCAACACAGCAAGTACAAAAGGACAGAATGATTGGCCACAAACAGATAATGCTTCTGCTTTCAGTTCCAGCAACAAGTCAAACGTTGACCATTTTTCTAACGATGAATTTTACAGAACTATAAAAGAGAGAGAGAGAGAGACCAGTTTTGAAAATGCATGTCTTTTCTCCAATGTGTGTGCAAACTGATATCCTTTCCATCAAGGAGATTTTTTGGGTGTGTGTGCATTGTCTCATTAACTGTGCAGCAGCACATGTTTTTAGCGTATCATTTAACTGACATCCTCAGATGAGTGAGCAGTGGTCTGTCTAGACCAGCACTGCCTGCTTTGACTGGCAGTGACTCTCAAGCCTCAGCTAGGGGTCTTTTGCTCTTAGATCCTCTTTTGTGGGAAATGCCAGGAGTGAACCTTGGGATTTCCTTCAAGCAAAGCATGGACTTCCCCACCGACAGAAGCGCCGGCATCTTCAGCCAGACCTGAGTGTTTGCATTCATAGGAGAGAGAAGCAGAAGGAAGGAAGAAAGAAAGATGGAATATTTGTTTGCTTCTTTTATCCAGGCATCTCCCTAACAATGTATGTTTTGGCCCAGTGGCCATCTCTTTCAGCCAGGCCCAAGAATCAGGAGTTCAAACCCAAAGCCACATTTTAGAGGAGCTTCAACCAAGATCAACACACAAGCCGCTGACGAGTCTATGTGCCAAATCCTCCCCAGCCTCAGCTCACACCAGGACAAGCTGGCCGGGCTGATTCTGCCCTCTTTCCCTCTCCGAGGGTGATGATAAGGAACGGTTTCAAGGAGAGGGGTGGAAGCTGTGTGGGTCTTTTCCCACAAAAACAGCAAAAAGCCTTGTGGCACCTTAAAGCCAGCCCAGCTTTATTTGCAGGCATCCAGCCTGCTTCCTCAAATGTGTGGATCTGGTCTGATCACCATCCGTCTGAAGCCCACAGAAGCTTGTGTCCAGCCACGCTTGGTAGAGGGGCAGGACCTCCCTTGGTTGACACCGATGGGGGACTGAAGTCAGAGGTGCTGGCCTAGAATCAGGTGGCTAAACGAAGAGGGAGGGAGGGAGAGAGAGGGAGCAGGCCTTTCTGCAGAGGTGCCCCCAGACTGAGAAGCTGGCAAGCCAAAAAGCCGAACGCCACACGCCGAGGCAAAGCCACAAGTGCTTCAAAGAGGTCCCTCATCGTGGAGAAAAGCGCTGGATGCTTACCTTCCAGCCACACCATTCCATGGAGGAGGAAAACCACCAGGGAAGTCCTGAGCATGGGGATCGAGCGCTGTTCCATGGGAGCCTTCCAGGAGACGTCCTCCAGCTGGTGGATCCAGGCGAGGCAGGAAACCTTAGGTGGGCAGCAGGCCCAGGAAGAGACCAGTGCCCAGGACGAGGTGCTCTTGCCTCGTGCCACCCCCTGCTGCAGAAAAGCTCTCTGTCTGTCTCCTTCCTTCTTTCCAAGGAATGGAAAGGTTTTGCTACCCCTTCCTTGGAAATCTTCTTCTCCTTCTCCTAGCTAGAGGGTTGTGTCTGTGTGGGAGGTAGGACAGAATTTGATCTAGGAAGAGCCACGTCCCAAGTGGTTTCAAAGAAATGAAGAAAAAAGCAACAGTCACTTATAGCAGTCGGTGCGGGGGGGCGGGGGGAAGGAAGAAAGAAAGTTAGTTTGCTAACTTTCCAGTCCCGGCCGGGCTGCTGCGGCCGCCTCGTCCCCGCGGGTTGCGCGCCGGCTGCTGCCCCTCCGAGCTCCCTCGGGGAAAGCGCAGGTGTCGCGCCGGCGGCCGAGGACCAGTGTTTGGGAACTTCCAAACTTCCTCCGGCTTTTTCTCCCAAAAAGAGATCGGGCGGGGAGAGGATGCTGGCTGCGTGGGTGGGAGAGAAGAGGAGACGATCGGGGAAGACCCCTGGCATCCACTTCCCGGGAAGAGGACGAGGCGGAGCGCCTGATGGATAGAGCGAAGAGGCCAGGCGCCCGCCGGAGGAGCTGCTGGCTTCCTAGCGCTGGGGCTGATCTGGGACAGCCGTGGGGCGTGTAGGTAGCGCGCTCGCTCGCTCGCTCGCTGTGTCCTCCTCCCCTCCCCGATTCGTTTGCTTTTGCTGGGATGTTGGATGCGAGCTCGGAATTCTTTATAGGGAAAGGGGGACAAAAAGGAAGGAGGAACGTCAGCAGCCCAAACCCCACGGGGGGGGGAAGGAGAGAAAAAGAGAGGGAGCTCCCTCGCCCCCTCACCCCGGTGCCCTGTCCCTCCGCCTGCAGAAATGCCGCCGCTTCCTCTTGCGTAGGGGTCGGGCGGCGTTGGCACCCCCGACAGCACCCACGGCCGGACACCGCGCCCTTGGAGTGATGCCTCGGGCGGGAGCGCCAGGTGGGCCGCCGAAGGGGCTCGGGAGGGGGCCGACGAAGCCGGCAGCCGCAGCGGGGAAGGGCCCTAGGGAGGAGTGGTTAGCGTGCGGGCTGAAGGGCCAGAGTGGACATCACTTGGGGCCAATGGCCTGTCTCCAGACCCACTCCCTGCCAGGGACCTCACAGAACCGCCCCCCCCCAATCCCTCTAAATAATAATAAGAGAGAAACGTAAGAAAACAAGTGAAATGAAATTAAACTGGGAGAGGCTAGAAACCCACTTCCAGTTTGGAAAAAACTCGTATTTTGGTGCCTGGAAATGTATTTAAAATATTTTTAACCTGCCTTTCCTCTTTTAAAAAGACCCAAACGGTTTGGGATGGTGGGGTTTTGTGACCTATGGGGAAAGTGCAATGGCCATGTCCCTCTTTTTTTTGGGGGGGGGTGTCGTCCAAAGATTCACAATCCTCTTTCTCTTTTTGCAAAGAAAACAGGAGGCTGGAAAGGCCACAAAGTAGCAGCATGGGGGGGGTACATTCAGACCCTCTTCAGTCCCCAGTTTGCACACCCCAGTTTTAAAGGCACTAAGATTCTAGGCACAGAAGGCTAAAATATATGCCTGTGTTGAACCCAGAGAAGAGAAGGTGGAAGCAAGAGAGATACGGAGAGAGAGAAATAGGAAGCTGATCAGAAAACGCCGGGATCCTGCAGAGAAGGACAATCATGCAGGCAGAGAGCGCACTGTTCTGAGAGCTGCCCATCACACACTCGGTTATGTCTTCTCTCCCTAGTGAACTGTGTGGACCAGCATGTGTCTGATTGTGCAGTGGACAAGTAATGGCCTATTCTCCACATCTGTTTAGGCTTATGCAGACCATTAAATCCAGTAGGATTCCAGCCAAAATGCTGTAAGTCGCCAAATGCCTTAAGGAGTTGTAGGTGACCCCTTGAACATGATGGTGATTCTGGGTGTGCGAGACCATCGAGAGATGGGTTAGACCCTGTTGTGCCTGCAGCCCAAAATACAAAGTCAGAGTATACAATACTTGGGGGGCAGGGGGGGGAAGACCAAGATGAATTCTAGTGTTGGTGCAGCTGTATGCAATCCCATGAAAACAAGGCTTTTGGAAAGTTTTACCAATAATGCTTATGATCCCTGATGGCACAGAGGGTGGAGGAGAGGATGTGAAAGAACTAAGGGTCAAAGATTACATTATAGCTACCCTGCGATTAGACGCAGGAAGTTCTTAAGGGCTGAAAACTTTCTCACTGTCACACCAGAAGCATTTGGCACCTCCCGATATTTTGCAAATAAACTCGCTTCCTTGGGTGATTGGTCATCGCAGGCAATAAGCACAGGCATTCTTTGCCGGCACAAAGGGCTGCTGATGGTATTGTGTCTCCGGAACTTGTAATGGATTTCAGCTTTGTAACACATAATTTGGAGCCCTAAAATGTGGGAAATTCGTTTTCTCCATGAACTACTAATTAACAGGATGCTGGTCATGTTCCTGGTTGTGTCCCACTGTGCAATCGAATATGTGGCCTGGAACGCAACCAGCACCATGCTAATTAATAGCAATGTGTTTTTATGATGTACACAAATTCACTTACACATCAGTAAATTGCCTTTCGGGTTCCCGTCTGTATCTCTTATCTCTGTAGATGTGTCTTCAGGAATAAGAAAACCTAGAACGGTGGGCTGCAGTTCAAAGGAAACCCCCCCCCTCCTTCATCCCATTTTCTATCAAGAGTGGCCATCCCAAGGTGAACCAAGAAGCAAGGAAACTTTTCAATCAGAAAGCCTTGCATGTCACTCTGGTGTGTGGATGCATGTGTTTTATTACTTGTCTTCTGTTATTTTGCTGTCACCACTATGAATAAGGTATCTGTTTCCTTGTATTTTGTTATTTTAAGAGTGAATTTCCTTTGTCTCCAGTTTTAACCGTAGGTGTAATTATACAGCAAATATAACAATTATGTGAAATGAAATGAATGGCAAAACTATAACCCACCCCCCTTCCCAGCAAGAAGACATCTTAACAAGTAATGCCAAAGTGGGCAGGTAAACCTAGACAGATGCTTTTTTAAAAGCTACATCCTTCAAACTACAATGGATACGACCCCCTTGGAAGTCGTCGATGCTTGGGTGGGGTTTTGTGCCAGTTTCCTTTGGGACCCTTGCGGTGAGAACTTGAGCTTTACTCATAAGGTCAGGAAGCCTTAAAAGGATAATCCAGCGACAGAGGAAGTGCCCTGGCGCTTTGGAAGCGAGTGAGGAAACGTAGGGCTGAAGTCATCTAGTGTGGGAGAAAAGGAGCAGAGGAGACACCGTAAGATCTAGGCCTGGTTCTCGGGTAGTCAGCTGGTTTGTGCAGTCTGCACACTAGGTCTGCCTCAACTGTCTGCAAAGGAGGGCTCGCAACCCAGCTGAGTGCAATTCAGTGCTAACCATTAAATAAACACATCTTCCCACAGAAAATGAGCAAATGAGGGGTAAGACGTACATGTCTTATTATTTAAAATATTTTTATCCTGCCTTTCTCCTACAGAAGGATCCAAGGCAGCTTTACATCATTTAAGAACACAATACGAAAAGCTAAAACCAGAAAATGATGCAAATCTTATAGAAGAATTGAAAACACCATCTTTAAAATGTTAGGTAAGAGCATGACAAAACACAGATTCAGAAGCATCAAAACCGTCCCATGTATTGTCTCCCAGACAATAAAGGGAAAGCCTGTATGAAGGGAAAACAGGTTTCTGCTTTTTGGAATTGGAATGATTCAAAAGGGCTTTTCCCCATATGATTAGTCCTTGGAAAGATGCGAGTCATGCCTGTTGCTGGTGTTTCGGTGACATAGGCAAGTTGGGGTGTGATGTTTGGGCCTGGGGAACACCCCCACGTTCTTTCCGATTTTCCTCTAATGTTTTAATTTTTTTGTAGCATTTCTTACATACAGTAGATGAAATTAGATTAATCAATCATCTTATTGCTGAGTCCTCATTATTATATCCCACATTTATGCCTCATAAAATGATCATCAGAGGTGAGACAAGAGGAAAGAAGTTAAAATGGGAATCAGTGGGTCTGGATTGCCACTCACGTTGCATCCAGTATAAACAGTGAATCCACAGCCCCTGTGTGAACATTAGGTGTGATTTCAAACATAATACAAGCTGGGGATCAAACCGCAGCAAAGCTGAATTGCTCCAATTAAGGTTTCCAGTGTTGTTACGCCCTAAATCAGCATAATATAATTGGCAAAATACTGTCTTTTGGACAAGCATGTAAATTCGGAACAAATCAAGGCTGTTTATATGGCTCTGCATTGAAGTGTCTAGAGATGGAGGCCAACATTTTGATGAAGTTCTGTTCAGATTTTCCTATGTTGGAATCTGCCAGGGAAGTTCTTTGAAGAAACATCCCAAGCAACTAATGGAGTAGGCTATGGGCATATTGCGCCAGTAAGACTTGGAAGTCTTTAACGTGCCACTGAACTCAGATGTTCTTGCTGCTAAAACAGCTAACCCTGGAAATTCCCTGTGACTGTGTAGCTGGTGCTTTTCAGGCTCAAAGCCACTGACACTGAGATGTCAGCCTGCCCCAGTGAATCTCAAGTTATGCAGAAGTTTAATTTTAAAATGCAGAATAAAATTATTTGAAATATTTTAAAAAAAGCAGTCCAATAAGAAACAAGGATGCACAAGGGCTTCCAGAAGTCAAGAAGTGTTGAGTGGGAGTTTGGAGGAAAAGTGGGTGGGTGGGTGGGTTGAAGAGGAAACAGACGGGTTTGCTTGAGCCGCTTGCAATGTATGGTGTAGGCTGAAAGAGGATGTGACTGCCTGGCTGAAACTGAAAAAAAAAGTGCTTCTATTTGGACTGCGATTGCACTGTCACATGTTGTTGCTGAAGATTCCTCACATATATCTCGAGAAGAACTGCAGACGGCAGTTAGAAACCCAGCAATT